TGCCGCTACGTGTCATTGCTGCCAGGTTCCGTTCACCGGATGCGGGCCGCGCACTACCGTATCCATAAAATGTGTCAGGTCGCCGGACAGGAGTCTCCTGGCCTATATACCGTGTTGTTTTCCAGTCGATTTCTAACGGGTTTCTGACAGAGTTGCTGATGTGGAAGTCATTGAAGTTTAACATTGGACTTGGTGCAAAGAAATAATCGCCTGAACAAATCTAACTTTAGGGCCGCGTCTTGTCCAGCTGATTCTTTGCATGGTCTGCCTGAACGATGCAGATCCCTTTACATCACGTTGTTTGAGTGATATTTCCTCATTAGTCGACTGATTATTGAGAGGTGGTGACCTAAATGCCTGGCAATGTCTCCATGGACAACCCGGCATTAACCATACCTTATAATCTTGCACACCGTTTCAGAGCCTTTTAACTGCATGATTGGTTTAAGACAATAGAAACTATGCGTTTTAAGCTCAGTTTTCTAACAAGGGTGAATGAAACTGTACTTTCATAACACGAGGGTGCAAGTGTTTCGCCGCTATACGGTTGTTACCTGCACCACGTGTTTCATGGTATATGCGGAGCATGAAAATAAACGTCGGTTTTAGATTTTCCTTCTGCAGAAACGGATAACTGTTAACTCATTTAATGTTTTGATTGTATATTTTTGACAACATCTCCAACTCTACCTGAGCAAAGGCATTCCTTCCCAAACTCAGAATGGAACCCAGAAAAATGGTCTAAAAAAGAGCGCAACGGAAGGATCTCACGGGGATGGTACGGTGTTCTCCATGTTTTTCATGCAAGTCATGCTGCACGTGCTGTTGTTCAAGGACCAGCCGTATAGAATGCACCCCAAACCTGGATTTGAAACATTCCACATTACAACGTCAGCAGGATGCCGCGACCTCACGACGGCTCGTGGTGAGGAATCAGGCGCTTGGAAGACTTTGAAGCTGGCCACCACTACCACAAGCTGTTGCCAATCACTTCGATCCTCATCTACAGACTGCAGCAACGTTTCTGGGCCACCAACACCACAAATGATCGCCCCCGTACCGGTAGACTAAGGGTGACCAAGACGACAAAGACCGCCATCTTGTGCGACAGCATGTACAGAATCCCACATGCAGGCATCCGAAACAGACGCGACAGTAACACACACGGAAGACCACCAGTACTTTATGCGCCGCCGAGGTCTTAACAGCGGAACTTCCATTGCCGTAGACCTTACCGTGGACCTTATCCTCACCCCTCGTCATCGGCGTGAACGTCTACAGTTTGCCCCAACACCAAAACTTGCGATACCCCGGCAGGTAATGGGGAACTGTTCTGTTCACAGATGAGAGTCGGTACTGCGTATCAACTGCAGATGACAAAACAAGAATGTGGCGACGTCGCGCCAGTGCGTTACCTGCAGTCCAATGTTGGCGGAAAAGAGATTCATGGGGTGGTGCAAGCATCATGGTATGGGATTGAATAGCCCGGTTCAGAAAGTGGGTCCTATGGTGTTCGCTATCCAGGGAGGGAGGTGGCATCAGCGGTGCGCCGCTGACGACCGCTTCCTCAGATCTAATGTCATACCACATTTCGCACGTCACCGGAACAACAATGGCGCATGATAACGCCCGGCCCATACTCGCCAGAGCTACACGGGACTTCCTACAGCAGAACGGTGTCAACATTATGCAGTGGCCAGCCCTCGGGTCCTGATTTAAAACCCAATTGAACATCTTTTGGATGAAATTCAGAGGAGACTGAATAATGTCATACCCGCCGAAAAGCTGATTTATTGGTGCCCGGCTCCTCTCAGGGTGTGGTTCCAGGTGCCAGTGGCTCATATCAATCGATTGGTGCACTCCATGCATAGACGCTGTGCTGCAGTATTGCCGCTCGTGGTGGTCACACTAGACTGGTAACGTTCACGGTTCGAAACAGCCGAGTTATTCATTGATGCGTCAAGATATTGTACAAAACAATGTTTTGGATCCGCTTATTAAAAACACACCACACAAATCACAAACACCACACACATCACCAACACGTGCCACAAAAACAAGCACGACAAGTGCTACACAATACAAACACAAACACAACTCACACCTCAAACACACCACACACATTACAAACACAACACCCACATAACAAACACACACCACACCTCCAAACACACTACAACACATTACAAACACAACACACACATAACAAACACACACCACACACCTCAAACACACCACACACATCACAAACACAACACCCACATAACAAAACACATCACACACAATAAACACACCACACACACATCACAAACACAACACCCACATAACAAACACATCACACACCTCAAACACACCACACACATCACAAACACAACACACACATAACAAAACACACCACACACATCAAACCACACCACACACATCACAAACACAACACACACATAACAAACACATCACACACCTCAAACACACCACACACATCACAAACAAAACACCCACATAACAAACACATCACGCACCTCAAACACACTACACACCACATATATCACCACACGTGCCATTAACACACACACAAGCACGACACAAACGCCAATTATCAATAACCAAAACACCACCACTTACACACACACCAAAACACCAAACGCCACACATACACACACACACCAAACGTCACATCAATAACACCAAACGCCATCATCAATAACCAAATGATACTACCACCAAACACCAAACGCCACACACATACACACACCAAACACACACACTAATACCACCAAACGCCACTAACATACACCAAACGTCACGCACACCAAACGTCACTGTACGCACACCAAACGCCACACACACACACACCAAATAATTAACACATCGCACCCCCAAACGACACAAACACCCCAAACGCCATTACCAATACCAAACACCAATATTGATGCACTCAAAACCACAATATCATCAATCCCAAACGTCACGCACACCAAAACACTCAGCAGCATGGGCGTGACAGGCGCAGCCCACCAAGCAATAGTGCTCTCATGGAGTTTACGTTTCTTGTGTTTAACAGATCCAACGTCTCCTGTAAATCGTGTTTATTCAGGAATTACATCACTGAGTGCGTTGAGTCAGTAGAGCGTCTGATGATATTAGAAAGACACCCCGTGTCGGTGTTCACCCAATTATCACCTGGGACACCTGGGGTTGTGTTCCTGTCAACATAAAACGTTGGTGCATGGATAAACCGCTTCTGTTGACAATAAATCACAAAGGGAAAAATGTGTGTCGCACTGTATGGTTTGCGTTGGAAAAGCATTAACACAAATCTGATGGAGATGGAGAGCGTAAGCATAGCTACCTGACCCGCTGAGAGACAAGACGGACAGTGGGTCCACCCCCGCCTAATGTCCCAGAGTGAAGTCCTCCTCCCGGATAACCTTCCCGGCATGATGCTTCACTCTCGGTTTGTACACTCTCCAGCCAGAAGGCCCGTATGTTAATGTCTTGGTCTCTCTAAATGATATCGAGAGTCTGGTTGGTCACTCCAGTCACCCCTGCTAACACTAACTGTATGAACTATCTTGCCAGCGGCGTTCTGGCTGTGAACTATGAAAATGACCATCTGTTTTCGATGAACACATACGAAGCCGATACTTATTTCTCAATTATTTAATATTCAAGATCAAGGAAGCGATATGTCTTGTTCCTTTACCTACATGGAATGTTCCTTTCTATATAATCATAGATATATATGTTTACTTTCTGATAAGTTTATACCGTTGTGATAATGTTTGATTGTGTAACACGTCATTTTCCTTTCTGATCAGGTCGCACTGTAAGTTGGAAAGTTCATGGCCAGTCAACATAAGTCAAATTTATCCTCACACAATACACGCTAATGTAATGATTCTCCCTTTCCATAAACCATTCAACCCAGGTTTGGAGGACTGGACTTAGCCGTGCACTTTAATGATCCGCACCACGCCACGCCTCGGCCTACAGCAGCGAGGTGATCTACTAAACTCTGACCTTGGCCTTCACTGCCAGTTGTACATACCTGCTCTGACCTTGTTGACCTATATACCGCCAGGTGACTCGGCTATGTTCTGACCTTCGGCCACCACCGCCCGGTGACATACTAAACTCTGACCTTGACCTATATATATACCGCCAGGTGACCTACTATGTTGTGACCTTTGGACCTTACACACCCTCGCCAGGGTATTTCTGACCTTCGACCTTGACACTACGGCCAGGTGACTCAATGCTAAGCTCCGAACCTTGACCTACAGTGATAAACTTTGGTCCTGTCTGCTTTTCTTACCTGTGGGCCTCTCCAGGTCCTTCCGCTCCAGAAATGCCACTGCACGACTCCTTCGACGGCGGATGACTCGCAGAAGAGTATATTATATGGTTGGCAAAACAGCTATAACAAACTGTCCAGCAGCGTTCTTTATCCATATGTCACAAATGGTCCACGTTTCCACAGAATCTGATCAAACAATATATGGTGTAATGTCGGAATTCAACATTCTTCCAATCTAAGTGAAATAATTCCCTAACGGAAACATTATGTCTGCCATCATAGGTGAAATGCATGATATGAAGAATATTATGTCGAGGTCCTATATGGAGACCACACATGTGTCAGTATACAATAGTCCCACCCTGTAGTGTTAGACAGTAGAGATCCTCGTATATACGTGCTGCCTTCTCCTGCTCGTCCGCTGTGTCCACATCCAGCTCTCTGTGGATCATGATGGGCAGGCCTGCTTTGGCAGCCTGGTCCCGAACGGAACTGTAGACATGTACTGTTACAGGTATGATTAAGACATAAACCGATTGAACAAACTCAGCCTCGCTTTGTAACGTTTCTTTTCAATACCTCCTCCTGTTGGTGATAATACATTTTCCAGTAGGCTAGATCTGGGCCAGGGTCAATTTCACCAGCCAGTTCACTATTCACCTGTCATTGTGTCCCAAGCTACATTGGGCCCACGTGACAGCCATCCCTAACTTAACCCACAAACTCGCATGACCAGTTGATGAGAAAAGACTGGCCATGACGGGCCGCGATGTCGAATTCGAGGCCTCTAGCGACTCTGTATCCTAACACCACCAACAGGAACTCCGGACTTCTGGAACGTCGTGGCCTGGTCCAGATGTGCCTGCATACACGGATTAAAGGCGAGATTTACGTTGTAAGCTCTACATACATGCACATGGTTTGTCCTAAATCTCCATACAGCATCGCAATCCAAACGTTTACTTTCATTTGATTGAGATATTTCAAGAATACTCAACCAGGTGCAAGATATTCTACCGAGACCTACCAACAAGTTTATTATTAAATAAATAGATAGGGACTCATTCCGAATTTAACAAGTTTTCCGTAGTGACATGTGCTTCACACAAAAACACGTGTTGTCATAAAGATTATTTAATCTGCGCAAAGTAATTCGGAACTATTCTTAACCTATTTTGTACGAGCGTGGAAAATATTGCCTTACAAAATTGTGGGGCTTTTCACGCTATAATTCATCAAACCTGCGCCAGGTAGAGGTTGACCGTATGCTTTCAAACTGGTCAATTACTTCTTCTAGTTCCCCGACTTAGTTGCTGCCGCTGCGCTGCACTAGCACTTGCGTGGAAGCTGATCTACACGAGTCCAGGGTCAACTCAGGACGGACCACAAAATTAAACTGAGCTGAGAAGCTTGCTTAAAATTGAAATCCTATCTACAATGGGTAGCTCTCATACATGCCTGTCCCGAGTAAAGATGCCAACACACATTTGACTAGTACAGAAAACTCGTACATCAAACATGGAAAAAACTTTCACTGTCCATCCTCAATACTAACGAATGTATGTCATATGGCTGCTTGACGATGTTGTAGTCGTTGAGGAAGAGCTTAACAGCTGGGTCTGCTTTTATGTGTCTCTCTGAACATCCACATGGGTGATGTTGGGGTCTTTGAGTCTCTTGCTCGTAGAAGTCGCCATGAAGATTCTCGTTGTTGTTTACGTCCCAGTGTTGGAGTCTAGGACACAGACATCCATACAATACAATTACGAAAAATGTATGCAGAAATTGGTATGTAAGAATATGCGTGTGCGTGTGTGCGTGTGCGTTTGTTAGTCCGAGTTACAGCTGCTTCAGTGCTTGTCCATTGCTAACGTCATACACGTGTAGCTCTATATGGCTAACGTCACACGTGCACCTATACATGGCTAACGTTACACACATTTAGCTCTATATGACTAACTTTACACACATGTAGTTAAACAGGGCTAACGTCATACACGTGTAGCTCTATATGGCTAACGTTGCACACATTTAGCTCTATATGGCTAACGTTACACACATGTAACTCTATATGGCTAACGTCATACACACATGTAGCTCTATATGGCTAACGTTACACACATGTAGCTATGCATGGCCGACGTCATACACATGTAGCTCTATATGGTTAACGTTACACACATGTAGTTATACATGGTTACATTGCACACATATAGCTCTATATGGCTAACGTTACGCACATGTAGCTCTATATGGCTAACGTTACACACATGTAGCTCTATATGGCTAACGTCATACACATGTAGCTCTATATGGCTAACGTTACACATATGTAGCTCTATATGGCTAACATTAGCAGATGTAGCTCTATATGGCTAACGTCATACACATGTAGCTCTATATGGCTAATTTTACACACATGTAGCTCTATATGGCTAACGTCATACACATGTAGCTCTATATGGCTAACGTTACGCACATGTACCCCTATATAGCTAACTTTACACACATGTAGCTCTATATGGCTAACGTCATACACACATGTAGCTCTATATGGCTAACGTTACACACAAGTAGCTATGCATGGCCGACTTCATACACATGTAGCTCTATATGGTTAACGTTACACACATGTAGTTATACATGGTTACATTGCACACATATAGCTCTATATGGCTAACGTTACGCACATGTAGCTCTATATGGCTAACGTTACACACATGTAGCTCTATATGGCTAACGTCATACACATGAAGCTCTATATGACTAACGTTACACATATGTAGCTCTATATGGCTAACATTAGCAAATGTAGCTCTATATGGCTAACGTCATACACATGTAGCTCTATATGGCTAACTTTACACACATGTAACTCTATATGACTAACTTCATACACATGTAACTCTATATGGCTAACGTCATACACATGTAGCTCTATATGGCTAACGTTACACACATGTAGCTCTATATGACTAACTTTACACACATTTAGCTCTATATGGCTAACTTTACACAAAAGTAGCTCTATATGGCTAACGTTACACACATGGCTCTATATGGTTAACTATTACACATGTAGCTCTATATGGCTAACGTTACACATGTGGTTCTACATGGCTAACGTTACACACATGTAGCTGTACATGGCTAACATCGTATATATGTAGCATTAAATGGCAAACGTTTCAGGCATGTAGCTATGTTCTGAGCATTGGTGAGTTGTCACACAAAGAACAACTGAGTGACACAGAGAACACAGAGATAGGAGTACAGAAAGCGGACAAACTGACAACAATGAACACACAAGAGTTACGGGATACAGCCACACAACTTACTTCCCCTTCAGTCCCCCTACAACCCCCTGGATTCGTGTCGCCATGAGAGACTTGAGCTCCGCTGCAGGTTTATTGTACTGCCATTTGGGAACACTTTTCTTTACGTCCCAAAATATGTTGTGACCTTTCACCTTCTTTCTGAAACACGGTCCCAATGTACAATGACGTATAAATGTTTAACAGAGATAATAATGGTGTGTTTTGAAAGTTCATAGCAGCCGAAAGTACCACGTTTCTTCACACAACGTCCCGTAAACCATATACCCGCAGCTTCACACATTTCCCAAGTGTGATGCCCTGCTCCTGTGAAACAAGAACACATGGAACAACATTGTACAGCATAAAACGTCATTGGAGAGATGGTCCTGACACCAGGTGATTGGCGACACAAGCTATAGAAGAATAGAAGCATAATCCTTCTCATGATCATAAAACGTCTTCACTAGAAGAAGGGTCGTTTTACAATTCCGCCTGTACTATAAAAGACTGTTTGGGAATCCTTATCCAAGCAGTCATTGCTAAACAGCAGGTAAAACAAATGGTTTTAAGAATCAGGGCCTAGATAGTCGTAAGTTAATGTTAAGGTATGACACTTACGACTATCTTAGCGCTAAGAGCTTCGAAAATCTATGCCCTGAACATCTGGCATCCTACGACCATTACAACGTCTAGGACGTACCCGTGCTGAAGGAGGGCGTCCACGGCGGCGAATGGGACTGAGTAGTTGGTATGTCCCTGTGAACAGACACATTTCCTTCAGATATATATGTGTTACAATAGCATCCTCTTGGTATCGCTCGCTTGGTATTGTCCCAAACCGCAAGCAGTATTACATGTTATCAAGCTATATGCAAATACTAGTACATGATGTCATGTTACATGCAAACAATATTACATGCTTTCATGTTACATGCAAATAGTATTACATACTATAATGTTACATACATACATACATACATACATACACATACATACATACATACATATACATACATACATACATACATACATACATACATACATACATACATACATACATATTATACATACATATATACATATATACATACATCGTCATACATATATATATATAGTGCATTTTGATGTTTTGTATTGAACGAGAAGATGTCATGGGAGCAGAGAAACAACAAGTTCGAATAGGGAATTCGTATTGCACCCCTGAATTACTATCCTAAGTTTACATCGGTATATAATAATACAGGTTATCAAACTACATTCCAAGAGTATTACATGTTATCAGATAGTGATATCACGACAGACTCAACTGTATGGTGTGTTTCAACCAGCGATTATGTAGCTGGGTTTTTCAAAGAGTACGATACTGGGGAATAATCTCTGTACAGGTAGCAACATCCACATGTGAGGAACACGTCTGTTGTTTTGTTCTTTTCCAAAGCTAACATATATACACATGACCCAAGACTGAGGTACAGGTATATGTGTGTTCTAATCCAATAACTTCAAGCGTTCTGTGGCAGCGGTATGCATCCATGAACAGAGTCGTAATTGTATTACACAATGATTGTTTCTGTTAAGATTCAATGGCGCTGGTACTGTGTATTAGGATGGAGGCCAAGGCTACTGAGAAACCTTCTAGAGCAGCCGGAATAATCCAGCACAGGCTAACCTAGCATGTTACATACTAACCTAGCATGTTACACACTAACCTAGCATGTTACACACTAACCTAGCATGTTACACACTAACCTAGCATGTTACACACTAACCTAGCATGTTACATACTAACCTAGCATGTTAACTGTGCATGTACAACCTAGCATGTTACACACTAACCTAGCATGTTACATACTAACCTAGCATGTTAGCAGCATGTGCACTAACATGGCATGTTACACTAACCTAGCATGTTACACACTAACCTGGCAAGCACACTAACCTGGCATGTTACATGCCTAACCTAGCATGTTACACACTAACCTAGCATGTTACACACTAACCTAGCATGTTACATACTAACCTGGCATGTTACATACTAACCTGGCATGTTACATACTAACCTAGCATGTTACATACTAACCTAGCATGTTACATACTAACCTAACATGTTACATACTAACCTAGCATGTTACATACTAACCTAGCATGTTACATACTAACCTAGCATGTTACATACTAACCTAGCATGTTACATACTAACCTAGCATGTTACATACTAACCTAGCATGTTACATACTAACCTAGCATGTTACATACTAACCTAGCATGTTACATACTAACCTAGCATGTTACATACTAACCTAGCATGTTACATACTAACCTAGCATGTTACATACTAACCTAGCATGTTACGTAACCTGGCATGTTACATACTAACCTAGCATGTACACATACTAACCTAGCATGTTACATACTAACCTAGCATGTTACATACTAACCTAGCATGTTACATACTAACCTAGCATGTTACATACTAACCTAACATGTTACATACTAACCTAGCATGTTACATACTAACCTAGCATGTTACATACTAACCTAACATGTTACACACTAACCTAGCATGTTACATACTAACCTGGCTAGCTGGCATGTTACACACTAACCTAGCATGTTACATACTAACCTAGCATGTTACACACTAACCTAGCATGTTACATAGCATGTTACATACTAACCTAGCATGTTACACACCTAACCTGGCATGTTACATACTAACCTAGCATGTTACATACTAACCTAGCATGTTACATACTAACCTAGCATGTTACATGCTAACCTAGCATGTACTAACCTGCTACGCTAACCTAGCATGTTACATACTAACCTTCTAGCATGTTACACACTAACCTGGCATGTTACATACTAACCTAGCATGTTACATACTAACCTAGCATGTTACATTCTAACCTGGCATGTTACATACTAACCTAGCATGTTACACACTAACCTAGCATGTTACATACTAACCTAGCATGTTACACACTAACCTAGCATGTTACACACTAACCTAGCATGTTACACCTGGCATGTTACACAACCTAGCATGTTACACACATGTTACTAACCTGGCATGTTACATACCAACCTGGTATGTTACACATACTAACCTAGCATGTTAAGCATACCAACCTAGCATGTTGCACACATTCAACCTGGCGTGTTACACCTGCATGTTCCATACCTAGCATGTTACATACTAACCTAGCATGTTACATACTAACCTATGTTACTATTATCTTCCCTGTTCATGTTACATACTAACCTAGCATGTTACATACTAATACCTAGCATGTTACATACTTTCTTTACATACCAACCTAGCATGTTACATTACTAACCTAAGCATGTTACATACTAACCTAACATGTTCATACTAACCTAGCATGTTACATACTAACCTAGCATGTTACATACTAACCTAACATGTTACATACTAACCTAGCATGTGTTACACACTCAACCTAGCATGTTACACACACTAACCTAGCATGTTACACATAACCTAGCTAATACATAAATTTGGCCATGTTACAGATACTGACCTGGCATGCATCATGTTACACACCTAACCTAAGCATGTTGCACACTAACCTAGCGTGTTGCACTTGGCGTGTTTGCACTAACCTAGCATGTTACTAACCTGGCATGTTACATGCCAACCTAGCATGTTACATACTAACCTGGCATGTTACATACTAACCTAGCATGTTACATACTAACCTGGCATGTTACATACTAACCTAGCATGTTACATACTAACCTAGCATGTTGCGCACTGGCATGTTATACTAACCTAGCATGTTACATACTAACCTAGCATGTTACACACTACAACCTAGCATGTTACACACTAACCTGGCATGTTACATACTAACCTAGCATGTTACATACTAACCTGGCATGTTTACATACTAACCTAAGCATGTTACATACCAACCTAGCATGTTACATAACTAACCTAGCATGTTACATACTAACCCAGCATGTTTACATGTTACATACTAACCTAGCATGTTACATACTAACCTAGCATGTTACATACTACACACAACCTAGCATGTTACACACCAACCTGGCATGTTACATACTAACCTGTGTCCTTAGTATGTTTACACACACTAACCTAGCATGTTACATACCTAGCCTAGCATGTTACACACTAACCTGGCATGTTACATACTAACCTAGCATGTTGCACATTAACCTGGCATGTTACATACTAACCTAGCATGTTACATACTAACCTAGCATGTTACATACTAACCCAGCGTGTTACATACTAACCTGTTACACACCATGCTACCTAACCTGGCATGTTACATACTACAACCTGGCATGTTATACTAACCTAGCGTGTTACATACTAACCTAGCATGTTACACATACTAACCTAGCATGTTTACACTGGCTGTTGCTAGCAGCCTGCGTGTTACATACTAACCTAGCATGTTACATACATACTAACCTAGCATGTTACATACCAACCTAGCATGTTTACATACCAACCTTAGCATGTTACATACTAACCTAGCATGTTACATACTAACCTAGCATGTTACATACTAACCTGGCATGTTACATACTAACCTGGCATGTTACATACTAACCTGGCATGTTACATACTAACCTAGCATGTTACACACTAACCTAGCATGTTACATACTAACCTAGCATGTTACACACTAACCTAGCATGTTACACACTAACCTAGCATGTTACACACTAACCTAGCATGTTACACACTAACCTGGCATGTTACACACTAACCTAGCATGTTACATACTAACCTAGCATGTTACATACTAACCTGGCATGTTACATACTAACCTAGCATGTTACATACTAACCTAGCATGTTACATACTAACCTAGCATGTTACATACTAACCTAGCATGCTTACATACTAACCTAGCATGTTACATACTAACCCTAGCATGTTACATACTAACCTAACCTAGCATGTTACATACTAACCTAGCATGTTACATACCTAACCTAGCATGTTACATGTTACATAAAAAAGCAACTAACCTAGCATGTTACATACTAACCTAGCATGTTACACACTAACCTAGCATGTTACATACTAACCTAGCATGTTACACACTAACCTAGCATGTTACATACTAACCTAGCATGTTACATACTAACCTAGCATGTTACATACTAACCTAGCATGTTACATACTAACCTGGCATGTTACATACTAACCTAGCATGTTACACACTAACCTGGCATGTTACATACTAACCTAGCATGTTACATACTAACCTAGCATGTTACACACTAACCTAGCATGTTACATACTAACCTAGCATGTTACAGACTAACCTAGCATGTTACACACTAACCTAGCATGTTACATACTAACCTAGCATGTTACACACTAACCTGGTATGTTACATACTAACCTAGCATGTTACATACTAACCTAGCATGTTACATACTAACCTAGCATGTTACATACTAACCTAGCATGTTACATACTAACCTAGCATGTTACACACTAACCTAGCATGTTACATACTAACCTAGCATGTTACACACTAACCTAGCATGTTACACTAACCTAGCATGTTACATACTAACCTAGCATGTTACACACTAACCTAGCATGTTACATACTAACCTGGCATGTTACATACTAACCTTACACTAACCTAACCTAACCTGGCATGTTACACACTAACCTGGCATGTTACATACTAACCTAGCATGTTACACCTGGCATACTAACCTGGCATGTTACATACTAACCTGGCATGTTACATACTAACCTAGCATGTTACATACTAACCTAGCATGTTACATACTAACCTGGCATGTTACCTAGCATGTTACACCTAAGCATGTTACATGTTACCTAGCATGTTTACATACTAACCTGGCATGTTACATACTAACCTAGCATGTTACACACTAACCTAGCATGTTACATACTAACCTAGCATGTTACATACTAACCTAGCATGTTACATACTAACCTAGCATGTTACATACCTGGCATAACCTTACATACTAACCTGGCATGTTACATACTAACCTAGCATGTTACATACTAACCTGGCATGTGTTACATACTAACCTAGCATGTTACATACTAACCTGGCATGTTACATACTAACCTGGCATGTTACATACTAACCTGGCATGTTACATACTAACATAGCATGTTACATACTAACTACGCAACTAACCTGGCATGTTACATACTAACCTGGCATGTTACATACTAACCTAGCATGTTACATACTAACCTAGCATGTTACACACTAACCTAGCATGTTACATACTAACCTAGCATGTTACAAACTAACCTAGCATGTTACATACTAACCTAGCATGTTACATACTAACCTGGCATGTTACATACTAACCTGGCATGTTACATACTAACCTAGCATGTTACATACTAACCTGGCATGTTACATACTAACCTGGCATGTTACATACTAACCTAGCATGTTACATACTAACCTAGCATGTTACATACTAACCTAGCATGTTACACACTAACCTAGCATGTTACATACTAACCTAGCATGTTACACACTAACCTAGCATGTTACATACTAACCTAGCATGTTACATACTAACCTAGCATGTTACATACTAACCTAGCATGTTACATACTAACCTAGCATGTTACACACTAACCTAGCATGTTACACACTAACCAGAAACAATACATAGGCAGGTTCCAGGGGTGGAAATAACCAATTGCCCGACGCCCGAGTCCAGTGGGTTTTTTCTGTCGGGCAAGCAAATTTGTATATCATGCTGTACCGGTGTCTAGTTGACTTTCCAATTTTAATTTTGTTGTTTATTTAAAAAATCCACAAGAAAATCGGCCGGTATAGTGGAAGAATTATCAGGGCAAGTGACTTTACATATGCCACTGTACCGGAGTACACTAGCAATTTTAAAGGTGTTTCCACCCCTGAGGTTCGCCTTTCTATTTGGACATTACATGAAGACCAGCAGTTGCGGGAAGATCACTTTTCACCTTGGACACCCAGCCTAACCTATTTTGTTGCTGGTCAGTGGATATCTTCACCACCGTCTTTATTGTTGTAACCGTTGCTGTTGTGTTATATTGTCGCTGTAATTGTACTGCCACCCTGTTGTACTGCGACCCTGTTGTATGCCACCCTGTTGTACTGCCAACCTGTTGTATGCAACCCTTTGCAGTGATTTGTATGGATTTGTAAACCTAGTTCATACTCGTCTGTAGTACTGCTCGATGGTGTCTAGGAAGGACTCTCTATTTGGGGCAGTACCTCCACGTGTTCGGTGCCAGTCCACTTGAGTGCATTAGAGGGCAGACCCCACTCAAAGTTCTTGTAAAAGAAGTCCTGGTACTTTTTATAGTTGGGATCAACGATCATTTTGGCGTCTATAGCGGAGGCGATGATGAACTCGCTGTAGGTCTGCTCCAACTGACAATCAAACACAACTTAATGACTTCAGTATATGCACTCAAATATGAAATCTGCTATGTTTTCAACCGCATTGTTTAACCTACGACTTCGATTCTTCATTAATTATTTCTCCACGGGAATGTTATTTCAAGGGGGAGGTAATCCGTGAGATGTCTGGTGTGTTATTTTCAACATAGTGAGTGAGTTTAGTTTTACGCCGCTATTAACAATATTCCAGCAATATCACGGCGAAGGACACCAGAAATTGGGCTTCACACATTGAACCCATGTGTGGAATCTATCCCGGGTGTTCAGCGTGACGAGCGTAACACAATGTGAAAATATACTGATCACAGACATTTAACTTATGGGATTGTGATGGTTTTGCAGAATGTTTCTTCAATTATACAATTTACGATCTGGCAGTCTGGAATACGAGGTATGGTAAGGGCTAATTTTGGGGTCATGAAAAGCGAAAAGGTTCCTCAATTAAACATAAACAAGAAAAAAGAACAATTCTTTCTTTTCAATTCGAGTAAATTCCTAAACTTTATAAACACAAAATAACAATATTTTACAAAGACTATGGATGCCTATAAAGTGATAAACCGTATCTCTAATATAACATCTTGCTTTGCAGACTCGCTGACAGTGATTTTTCCTTTCGATTGTTCTTTGTAAGCCATCGCTCATATCAATAAACAAATTAAAATGGTTTTAAAAATGTTCCCTTATCATACTCCACACTTTACTTACATCAACAGTTAATCCAGCAGGGTCGATATCTGTGCCAGCTAATCTGTAAGTGGAAGAGACATTGCATTAAAAGTATGTGCAATATCCATGTTGAATAGTCGTGAAATTATCATGTAAAACTATTTCTTTGGAACTACAATCAAGTACACATACATATGTTTAGTATAATCATAATGTTCGTTCTGAACATGTGCGCCAATCTAAATGAACTTAATATACATGCTCCGTGGGAAATGTAAATCTTGTCACTGATCTTTGTAAATGTCAATCATTTGCAGTGTACGATAACTATGTGTACACGTGTGCCGCGTTATTACAAAGCATTCCATACATACAGACATGTGTCACCATGGTTACCTACTTGATAGTGACGTTTGCTTTCCTCAGTGTCTCTATCCTGTCGTCTGCTGCAGACCGGAAGTTGTGTAGAGGAGGTACTTCCTCAAATATGGCAGAGTCAAGGAGGTAGTTTACTTGTGGTTGATCGATTTCAATGTACACCTTAAACGTTTTGGTGTCTGAAATTGATGTTAATTCTTTCAGAAGATGTCTTCTGGAAATGTTTCGGGCAATCAACCCAATAAACTTCATGACTGGCCAGTCTGGGCCTGAATTCCAGTGACCACATTATAGAGTGAGATGAGTCTTTAATATAAGGGTTACTGCATAATCTCCATCTCCGTGTTTTTTATGATATACCTTTCCACGAACAACTGGTGGCAACGATTTGTTTACATAATTTCCATGGCAACGGAGACTTGTTACCACACTTATTGTTAGGTATGAGATAGTCCGCTCCTATTAGATGCCACCCTGTACCAAGATGTATGTAGGGAGACTTGTTACCACACTTACTGTTAGGTATGAGATAGTCCCCTCCTATCAGATGCCACCCTGTACCAAGCTGTATGTAGGGAGACTTGCCCATGTTGTCATAATGATGGTTCCCTGCACACAGAAGGGAGATTTGTGTGATACACTTCACATAAAGCACGGATATACCAGATATTGTTTTATTGAAAATCGTCAGTAGAAGGCAATACAAAGATACAATATGACGTCAGTAAAGGTCCATTCTGATTTCAAACTGTTTTAATTTTAACTGATAAGCATAGTGAACCAAAAGGTTATTAAGCTTAACAAATACCGTGTTAGTTGACCATGTCGATCATGATGTTGACGCCATGGTACAAGTGGCTGAGAAGACAAGTCCTACCATGTTCTATGGTTGTGTTACTTGAGAATGCAATTCCTACCCTGTGTTGTCACGATGTCTACGTTGATGTTGACGCCATGGTACAAGTGGCCTGAGAAGACAAGTCCTACCATGTTATATGGGCTGTGTTACTTGAGAATGCAATTCCTACCCTGTGTTGTCACTATGTCTACGTTGATGTTGACGCCATGGTACAAGTGGCCTGGTAACTGGTTCAACAGTTTGACGTAGGCACTGAAGGTGTATCTGTGACCTGGCTGGACCGGAACCACCTGGGCAGGACCTGAGTATTTGAACTTCCTGTAACAATACCCGGTTATGTTATAGCGTGATATCACTTTAATGCGAGGGAAGACCAAGATTAAAACTTCGACGGTTGACCTCAAAAGCACGAATATAGTTCTGACAACATCGGGACGGACGGGGATTTAAAAAGACAATTCCCAGGGGAAGCAACTCTGGACAGCGAATAGGCGACCGAGCCTCCCGGGTGAAAACGTCACCTGTAACAGGCAGTATTTAGTGTTCCAGAAACCTGTTGATGTTTGGAAGATACTGCATCCTTGTTATAACGTTCATTTGAGTCTTGTTTATGACATGGTTATTTCACATGTTTTCTACGTAATTGGTCCCATTCCAACTGGGAGTCAACAAGACTGTGTTAGATGACACAGTGTCGACCATGTCCACGGCATTACGTGTCGATGACAACACAAAGACAGATTGTGAGGTTCCCGTTTGAACATATGATACTAACTAAGAACCGTATGGCCGTTGGGGAGATCGGCACAGTTCACTCAGCCTTGAAGCCCTTTCTCAGTTAACACATTACGTCAGTAAACAATCTGCAATCTGTATGTGACGTCAGTTGTTTTTCTCATGACATCCTTCTTCGATTGAGAGTGTTTACTGTCAGGTAAAATAGAGCAGTTTGTACTTGTTGTTGGATCGGATGGATGTGTGTTGGACCTGGTTTACCGGACATTGCTCCGAGGCAAAGAATTTGTTCTCGAACCTGTCCATTATTTGATTCCGTCCACATCATAAGTATATATTTGGAATCATAATTAATATAGTAAATATTCTAGGTGTTCGTGAAAAGGAGATCACGCATGCTGTCCCACCTGTGGCACCCGTCAGAAACACATGCAAAGGCACGTCAATTGTCAGTCGATCTTATCAAAAGTGGGACAAGCAGTTTTAGATAGGAAGACTACCTGTTGTCAACCTTCACACTGTGACTTCCGGTGTGGCTGTCTGGAGACAAGGTCAGGTCGCACGAGCAGGTCCAAGCCGTTTTTGGATTTCCAGCCTCGAAGTCGCCATCTTGCAATACATTCGGAGCACACCATACCCCGATGATGCATAGGATAAACACAATAGACAACATGTCTGACGCAGGTGCGTGTAGGTCCAGTCCCAGTTGTGGTGCCACGTGACAGACCTACCAATCCTTATCTTGGTATAAAAATACTGACATCCGACCTGAGATAAGTTTATCATTATTCCAGCACTGGTTTCTAAATAGACATTGCTATATGGGTGAACCTGTGTGGACCTTGAACTGTATAATCCTAGAAGTCGGCCATGGATTTGCCAACAAGCTTTCGATTTGTTGTTGTTTGTGTAAGAGTGAGGGAGTGAGTTTAGTTTTACGCCGCTTTTAGCAATATTCCAGCAATATCACGACGGGGGAACCCAGAAATGGGCTTCATACAGTGTATCCAATGGCAACTCTTTGTAAGACATTTCCATGAAGCTGTAGATAGCGCAGGTACACACATGAACAATAATCACTTTCAAACATACACCATTACTAGACAGTGTGTTATGTGTTTATTGAAGATTTAATGTGCATATTTTACAGAAAGAGACGACACCAAGCCCATGCTTCATCATCCGACCAGTATCTGGGTCACGTGCGGCTGAGTACCTGAAATACACACACCAATATATCTTCCGGGTGCTGCTCTCATGAATATTGTAATATGTTATGTTATTTTTAAGCTGGAACTGAAGTGACATTTATTGATAGCCACCGTTTAACTTGTCCTGTATAGGGATGGGAGGTTAAAAACATATTTGTTCGGGTGGGCTTCACAAGGAAATTAAACTCCATTTCCCCAAAGAAAGGTCTTCGTGGTGTATATATTTTTCACTTTTGCTCAACTATCTTGCCCTCAAATCACGACATTATTCAAACACTGAGATACACGCACCTGTTCCGCTGAGAGACACAGTGAGGTCCACCCCCGCCTGTCCCAGAGTGAAGTCCTCCTCCCGGATAACCTTCCCATGATGCTTCACTCTCAGTTTGTACTCTCCCTTGAAGGCCCGTATGTTAACGTCCTGGTCACGTGATATCGGGAGGGTCTGGTTGGTTCTCCAGTCTCCCACACTAACTGGCGAACTATCTTGCCCGCAGCGTTCGGCTGTAATCATAGACAATTTGGAATGTTGTGGATGTAATAATATCCTAGATATTTAGAGGTTTATCTTATCATGGCGATTGCCTTTCTACAATGATAGGTTTGTTATGTACTGAATGACGAATAGATCCCTATGAAGAGTGGAGCAGAAGGTTCCTTTGTGGACTGAGTGATCAGTCACAGGGGTACAAGACGTTCACTGATCAGAATCACACAACCAACAATTATACTGTTTTCTGGTAAAGCAAGAAGCATAGAAAGCCGATCTAAGAGTGTACTCTACCTCAAACCCCTGTCTATATGCCTGTGACCTTGACCTACCGTGACATCCGGTCCCTCCGTCAGCACTGCCTGAGGTTTCCGAATCTGTCGGCTCCAGAAGTGCCATTGTACTATTCCCTCAACGGCGGGGTGGCTGCCGAGAAGAGTCAGTGTAACGTTGGAATATAGCTAACACCACCCCAAGAAGATATGAATCATTCAACCTGTGGACTGGAATTATACAAAAACTCAAACACGTTCTGGATAAAACACATCACACGATAAGTGTACAGACGGTGGAGATCCTATATGGGAAGATCACACATGTCAGTATACACGTCCTACCTGTAGTACAGACGGTAGAGATCCTACATGGGAAGATCACACATGTCAGTATACACGTCCCACCTGTAGTACAGACGGTAGAGATCCTACATGGGAAGATCACACATGTCAGTATACACGTCCCACCTGTAGTACAGGCGGTAGAGATCCTAAATGGGAAGATCACACAAGTCAGTATACACGTCCCACCTGTAGTACAGACGGTAGAGATCCTACATGGGAAGACCACACATGTCAGTATACACGTCCCACCTGTAGTACAGACGGTAGAGATCCTACATGGGAAGATCACACATGTCAGTATATACGTCCCACCTGTAGTACAGACGGTAGAGATCCTACATGGGAAGATCACACATGTCAGTATACACGTCCCACCTGTAGTACGGACGGTAGAGATCCTACATGGGAAGATCACACATCACAGTATACACGTCCCACCTGTAGTACGGACGGTAGAGATCCTACATGGGAAGATCACACATGTCAGTATACACGTCCCACCTGTAGTACAGGCGGTAGATCCTACATGCGAAGATCACACATGTCTGAATGTACACGTCCCACCTGTAGTACAGACGGTAGAGATCCTACATGGGAAGATCACACATGTCTGAATGTACACGTCCCACCTGTAGTACAGACGGTAGAGATCCTACATGGGAAGATCACACATGTCAGTATACACGTCCCTACTGTAGTACAGACGGTAGATCCTACATGGGAAGATCACACATGTCAGTATACAAGTCCCACCTGTAGTACAGACGGTAAAGATCCTACATGGGAGATCACAGGTGTCAGTATACAAGTCCCACCTGTAGTACAGACGGTAGAGATCCTACATGGGAAGATCACACATGTCTGAATGTACACGTCCCACCTGTAGTACAGACGGTAGAGATCCTACATGGGAAGATCACACATGTCAGTATACACGTCCCACCTGTAGTACAGACGGCAGATCCTACATGGGAAGATCACACATGTCAGTATACAAGTCCCACCTGTAGTACAGACGGTAAAGATCCTACATGGGAGATCACACGTGTCAGTATACAAGTCCCACCTGTAGTACAGACGGTAGAGATCCTACATGGGAAGATCACACATGTCAGTATACACGTCCCACCTGTAGTACAGACGGTAGAGATCCTACATGGGAAGATCACACATGTCAGTATACAAGTCCCACCTGTAGTACAGACGGTAAAGATCATACATGGGAGATCACACGTGTCAGTATACAAGTCCCACCTCTAGTACAGACGGTAAAGATCCTACATGGGAGACCATACATGTCAGTATACACGTCCCACCTGTAGTACAGACGGTAGAGATCCTACATGGGAAGATCACACATGTCAGTATACACGTCCCACCTGTAGTACAGACGGTAGATCCTACATGGGAAGATCACACAGGTCTGAATGTACACGTCCCACCTGTAGTACAGACGGTAGAGATCCTACATGGGAAGATCACACATGTCTGAATGTACACGTCCCACCTGTAGTACAGACGGTAGAGATCCTACATGGGAAGATCACACATGTCTGAATGTACACGTCCCACCTGTAGTACAGATGGTAGAGATCCTACATGGGAAGATCACACATGTCAGTATACACGTCCCACCTGTAGTACAGACGGTAGAGATCCTACATGGGAAGATCACACATGTCAGTATACACGTCCCACCTGTAGTACAGACGGTAGAGATCCTACATGGGAAGATCACACATGTCAGTATACACGTCACACCTGTAGTACAGACGTTAGAGATCCTACAAGGGAAGATCACACATGTCAGTATACACGTCCCTACTGTAGTACAGACGGTAGAGATCCTACATGGGAAGATCACACATGTCAGTATACACGTCCCACCTGTAGTACAGACGGTAGAGATCCTACATGGGAAGATCACACAAGTCAGTATACACGTCCCACCTGTAGTACAGACGGTAGAGATCCTACATGGGAAGATCACACATGTCAGTATACACGTCCCACCTGTAGTACAGACGGTAGAGATCCTACATGGGAAGATCACACATGTCAGTATACACGTCCCACCTGTAGTACAGACGGTAGAGATCCTACATGGGAAGATCACACATGTCAGTATACACGTCCCACCTGTAGTACAGACGGTAGAGATCCTACATGGGAAGATCACACAAGTCAGTATACACGTCCCACCTGTTGTACAGACGGTAGAGATCCTACATGGGAAGATCACACATGTCAGTATACACGTCCCACCTGTTGTACAGACGGTAAAGATCCCACATGGGAAGACCACACATGTCAGTATACACGTCCCACCTGTAGTACAGACGGTAGAAATCCTACATGGGAAGATCACACATGTCAGTATACACGTCCCACCTGTTGTACAGACGGTAGAGATCCTACATGGGAAGATCACACATGTCAGTATACACGTCCCACCTGTAGTACAGACGGTAGAGATCCTACATGGGAAGATCACACATGTCAGTATACACGTCCCACCTGTAGTACAGACGGTAGAGATCCTACATGGGAAGATCACACATGTCAGTATACACGTCCCACCTGTAGTACAGACGGTAGAGATCCTACATGGGAAGATCACACATGTCAGTATACAGGTCCCACCTGTAGTACAGACGGTAGAGATCCTACATGGGAGACCACACATGTCAGTATACACGTCCCACCTGTAGTACAGACGGTAGAGATCCTACATGGGAAGATCACACATGTCAGTATACAGGTCCCACCTGTAGTACAGACGGTAGAGATCCTACATGGGAGACCACACATGTCAGTATACAGGTCCCACCTGTAGTACAGACGGTAGAGATCCTCGTAGATGCGTGCCTTCTCCTGCTCGTCCGCTGTGTCCACATCCAGCTCTGTGATCATGATGGGTAGGCCTGCTTTGGCAACCTGGTCCAGACGGAACTGTAGACATACAGACACGAGTATTCAGAGACACATACGCAGACATACAGATATACAGACACCGACTAAATACCGAGATGCAGGTCGACGCTCTGATGTCAACTTGTTGTTTCAATGCAAACTTTTACACAATAGACAGTAGGTTTTATCCCGTTCCTGTCTTTACTGCCTAGGTGGCTACCAAACAGCACGTCAGATATATGTACTGATAGACAAAAGCGCATATACTCTCAAAACATCTACACGGGCAAACACTATGGAATCCTGGAAGGGACATTGTCGCGTTGTCGCCCTCTCAAATACAAGCAAAATGAGGCAAAATTAACCAAAACGCGACACGCGACATATTTTGACCTTGAAAATTGTCGCTATGTCGCCTGTCGCCCTTTTGAGGAATAGAAAAATATTATTCAAAACGCGACAATGCGACAAATGGGCGAAATGTCGCGTTGTCGCAA